ATTCTAAAGTATGGGGAGTGAGGATGTCAACATATAAATTTGGGGACAGGGGCACAATTCAACCTGCAACAAATCACCATCATGTTTTACAATCTCATAAAAAACAGAAGACGAAGCCCAAGTAGGGGCTGGGGAGGTGCAGAAGTGGAGTGAACCTCCAGGCGTTGGTGGGAGCATTATCAAAAGGTCTGTGGAGCCGACATGATCCGGTGAAATGCTGGATGAATAGTGCCTGGGTGGGGTGGTCTGGTGTAATAGCACAGGGATTTGGGGCACCTACCCCCAACAATCCCTCCCACATTTGAATCCTAATAATACCTTCCCACAGGGCCTATCTCTGCCAATAGAAAAGGAGGTGTTTCCAAATGTTGGACTCACTCTTAAACCAGGAAATTCACCAAGACTTCCATCTGCAGGATCACTTGTGGTGGGGGATTAGTGTCCCCTTCTCAAATCTTAGCCCCCCTTCCCCTCCCCGCTCCAGGTTGTATGTTTAGAACAATAGGAGAACTCATCTTCTTGGTTTCTCTTCCTTTTTTTTTTTTTTTTTTTGCTGGGGGTGGGTGTGTGGCTATGGGGGATTGAACTCAGGGGCCTTCGACCACTGAGCCACATCCCCAGCCCTATTTTGTATTTGATTCAGAGACAGGGTCTCTCTGAGTTGCTTAGTACCTTGTCATTGCTGAGGCTGGTTTTAAACTCACGATCCTCCTGTCTTAGCCTCACAAGCCTCTGGGATTACAGGCGTGCGCCACTGTGCCTGGTAGCTTGGTTTCTCTTGGCAACAGCATCCACCTTGCTGACCCTTCTGTAGGGCAGTTGGATTCCTAGGGTGATATCCTCCCCAGTCATGGGGCTTTGTCCTGCTAGAGTTTGGTACCTCCCTTAGGACCACTTACCTTGCTGAGCCTTCTACCAGCCTGAGGGGAGGTTGGTTGCCTGGAAGGATCCCTGTTCAAAACAGGATTAATGCAGGAAGGGCTATCTCAGCCCTATCACTCCTCAGGGCCCAGCGTTTCGCCATATGTGTGTCTGGCTCATGTTCCCAGAGCACCCAGTAGCTGCATCGTCATCGTTTATTACCTCTGGACTCCAGAGTCTGGCTATGAGAGCGCCAGTTGTGCAGGACAAAATTAATGGCTTTGTTTGGGAGTCTCAGATGAGAGATAGAGGGGGCGATGTCATGGAGCTTGATTTTGGGATAGTGTCTGATGCATCATCTCATAAAATCTTGCTCACCAAATTAATTCATTGGTCATGTGGCTTGGACACTGGCTACTGACCCAAGCAAAAGTCAGAGACGGGTGATAATGGATCTGTTAGGGAGGAGGCCTCAGGAGGAGGTGGCCGTGGGGCTCAGAGGCAGAATGCTTCTTAATTAAAGTCTTGTCTGATGAGCAGGGTAACCAGCTCATCAATAAGTGATGACAGATGAATACAGGTGAGGTGCCAGCTAGGAGGAAAATTGGGGCAGTGAGTTCTGAGTGGGTGGTGAGTCCTACTGAAACCCTGGGCCTCAGAGTCCCCATTTACCCTACACCATGAGAATTGATAAATGTCTGGAAGGGCAGGCTGGCCAGAGGCTTATGCTTCTTGTTTTGTGCTACATGTGTTAGCCTTCCTTCTTGTCTTTTCTGTGTATGTTTGTCTCTGGGACTGGGTGTGTTTCTTATGGCTGCACAGGATCCGCACACTGTACCCTTCCCTGGACTTGTGCCTTACAGTGTCCTTGTGTCTGGGAACACGCACAAGGTTTTGTGTGTGTGTGTGTGTGTGTGTGTGTGTGTGTGTGTGTACAGAGTGCGTGAATGCTGTGGTGGCCACTCTGTTTGGACAAAGTACTGGAGGAATCCAAGGGATCACCTTCCTCCAGGTGGGATTGGGAGGATGAAGGGGGGATGGGCAGGAGGTGCAGCTAGGACATTCCTGGGAGAGCAGGAGCCCACCTCCCCCTTATCAGGTATCCCAGGTCCCCACCCTCCTTTAACTTGTAATAAGGAGGAGATAATGCTGTTTCTTATTCTTTATTTGCCCAGAATGCCTGTTATTTTCCTTCTTTCAGAATCCAATTTTCTCTTGACATTTCTGCCTAATGTAGCAAAGCATGACCTTTGTGGGAGGACATTGCCGGCAGCCTGCTCTCTGCCCGGGGCTTCCCCGACTCCTGGCAGGCTCCCTGCCTGCTCCTCTCTGGGGGATGAGCAAGGCTGCCCATTTCACCTGGATCGTTCCTGTCTCCCGCCTTGCTTTTGGGTTTTACCAGGGACATGACCCCCACGGGTCAATGAGCCTGGGGTTTCTGGCTTCTGAGTCCCTGAAGGATGCTGCTGCTCAGCTTCAGAACCATGGGTTTTATTCCTGGGAGCATTAGAGTCGGGTGGGGAGCTAAAGGCAGAGGCTGAGCTGCTTTCCAGCATTCCCTTTGGATTTGGAAGTGTGGGCTTGTCCATCTTCTGCTGCCAAGAATGCTGTTGTGTGTAGACAGTAAAACCAGGAAAAACAAGGGAGAAAAGATTTCTACCTGGATGATTCAAACACAAAGATTTATTACAACTTCGTGAAGGCCTCTAGCAACAGAGATTCAGAGAATGGTATTGCAACCTGTTGTCTTTGACTTTAGATTCTGAGCTCCCAGCCTAGTATCTAGGTAGGGGCAGTGACTCTTGGGGACATCTGTCAGATCCCTTGCTCCACCCCTCCAAGCAGGAGATGGACTGCTGTAGGGACTTGTCCCAGATGGCGTCCCAGATGGGTACAGCTCTTCTTTGGTCAGTTCTTTACTTCTGGCTGATGGGGGAGTGGTGGAAGCTTATAGGAAGGAGGAGTATGGTCACTAGGGGTTTCGTGAATCAGAACATGATGGCTAGCTCTGGGCCCTGCAGAGAGGAAGTGGGTAAGCACATGGGCCATGGGGGCCAGCCTCAAGAGCTGGGTGTGGTGGTCTTGGAGAATTTGAACAGAGGGAGCGCTGGAAAGGAAGACAGTGAACACTAGTTGTGGGAGCCACCTACCTAAGGTCCTCTTCCCTTCCCCACCAGTCCCCTGCATGGTAGGGCTACCTTCCTGACACCAGCACAGGCTGTCCTTGAGACCTAGCCAGTTCAGATCTGGCCAACTCATCACAGATAGGCTGCATCAAAAAGAAGTGTGGACTGTCCCTTAGGTTTTTCTTAAATTTGAGTATCTGTTCTTGTATAGTCTCCCTTTGTGAGCTATAGACCCATTTCTTGCTTTAGTTATCTAATAGGGGCTGGGGTGTAACTCAGTGGCAGAGAACTTGCCTAGCATAGGTGGGGCCCCAGGTTATGTCCAAGCACTGCAAAAAAACAATTTATATCTAACAGGCATCTTATTATTAGTAGTACTGGGGCATTGAACTCAGGAGCTCTCTACTACAGAGTTATACACCCAGCCCTTTTTAGTTTTTATTTTGAGACTAAATTGCCCAGGCTGGATTAGAACCTGTGATCCTCCTGCCTTAGCTCTCCAAGTCTGTGGGATTACAGGTGTGCGCCATTGCGCCCAGCCAGGCATCTTAAATGTAATAGTCTCAGGGAGGAAACCCTTGACCCCACTGCCTCCACGTGATCTCTTGGTAGACTTCCTTACCTCACTAAATGGCCTCACCCCTTTTTCTTGTAGCACTGTTGTAACCTTCAAACTGGCCAGCCAACATTCAGGCTTGGTCTTCCATAAAAAATGGTAATTAAATTATGTCATGTCCCCCACTCCAAACCATCCTGTGCTTTCCCACTGCTCTTTTGAGTAAAATCTGGTCTCGTCCCGTGGCCATCAAGGTGGGTGTGGCATGAGCCCCTCTCCCGTTATCCCAGCTCACGGCCTCCACTCCTCCACTCCCTTCCTGGCTCTGGTGTTCCTCTCAGACCCTTGCACTTACTATTTCTACTGCCCCAAACACTTCTCCCTGGTGCTCACCTCCTTCTCCTCTTGACTCAGGTCTTTTGTCACCTTGTCAGCAGGCTCTTCTGAGAGCACCTGTCTGAAGTAGCTTTTTCCCTCTTCCACATCGGTTACATCCATTACCTGATTTATGCTCTTCCTTCTCCTCATTCATTTGTACCTTGAACACGGGGCTCCGGAGTGACCTCATCTTTTCCCTCAGTGGTCAGCACCCTCACCCTCAGTGCAGCCTGTGTTGACTTTCCATAAATATCTGCTCTAAAAGTCATCTAAATATAGGTGCATGTGTAAGCACATGTGTGTTTATAATAAAGTCTGTGTTTGCTTTCATTACTTTCATGTTTAATAGACACAAATACGTGTGTGTGTGTGTGTGTGTGTGTATTTACCTAAATGGAATCAGCATCACCATCCACCCCATCAGTAGATGAGTACATTGTTCCTCAGGTGCCACTTCAGTTCTAGCAATGTCTAATGCTGCCTGTAAGGGCTGTTATCACATCAAAAGTTGTTTGTTGAGCCTGGCAAAGTAATAACCGTGGGCGTGTTTTTTCTTTTATTCAGAAGACTAATGGCTGCTCCTTCCCCCTGTACATCCTAATGAGAACAACTAAATAGCCATTAGGAGGAGAACAGACATGTGAACAAAAGGCTGATGTCTTGATCTCACGGATGTGCCTGTTTGCAGGGGGAGGGATGGGCTAGGAGGAGTTGTAGGTGACTTGAAGAGTTTATTGACCTGGGTGACTGTTAAGAACACACATGGGCTCAGAGCTCTCTGGTCTCCTAGTGGAGGGTGGTTTCCAACAGGCATGGACTTTTATTATGGAGAGAGAGTTTGGGAGAATAACCTATTATTTCTTTGATTTGTAAAACCTTGCCTTTTAAAAGTCTTCTGAATTCTATTCAAACCTGATCTGTGGCCTCAACTATTAGCAAATATATCTTTAGTAGAGTTGAACAAAGCAAAAGAGGAAAAACAAAGCTGGGCTCCAGTGAAATGACCAAACTCACTCTCAAGAGCCTGACTAATGGCAGGTCTGTCCTTTAACTTCCTCTTTGTTTTGCCAATCTTGCAGAAACCTGTCGAGCAACCGCCTCACCACACTCTCATGGCAGCTCTTCCAGACGCTGAGTCTTCGGGAACTGTAAGTTCGGTTTTGAGACTGTGCAGGCGGTGAAGTGGTGATACTGGTTGGGTGGGGAGAAGCGTCACGCACCGGGAGCTACAGAAGGCTGTGTGTACACCTGAGAGGGCTGCTGGTGGGATCATGTAGAGAGTTCAGGGAGAGCCAACTCAGGAAGCCCCCACCCCTGGTGCTCCATTTCTCATGCCCTGAGCATAATCCATTTCAGAAGACAGAATCTCATTTCCTATCAGGATTTAGTTTTATGATCTACAGGTGATTAGTAATAATAGCTTTAGTATCAATGATAATAGAGCATCAATTCATAGTAAATAACATTTGTGATGCATAACTTTATGAATTATCAGGTACACTTTCATTAACATGACCTTAGATTGAGCATCACGAGAATCATAGGAGGTAGGTGTTATTCTCTGCCGGTCATGGGTGAGAATGCTGATCCCTAGAGATGCATCCAAGGTTTAACCTCGATTGCATTGCATAAGGACTGGCCCAGGACTTGAGCCCCGGTGGGGTGGCCTGACTTCAGAATGCACCTCCTTTCCACCACTCATGATCTCCCAACAGCTTATTTAGGCACCCCGGGAGGGGGCAGCTCAGCCTTGCTGCATCCCAGAGCTGATCAGTGCAGCCTGTCACAGGCCAGCCATTTTGTGCACACAAATGTTGGCTTGATGAGTGAAAATTCGTGACCACTGCTGGAAAAAATAACTCATGTTGATGTGTGAGTCATCAGGGTCATCTCTGTGCATGAAGGACAGCATATTATGTTAAGGGAATAAATCAAGGAATAAATTGAAGAGGAATTGAGGCATGGATGAAGTTAGGGGGTCAGAGTTCCAGACACGCCACTCATGTTTTCCCATTTACTTGGTGACTCAGACCCAAATTCACAGAATGCGGATTGCTTTACTGTCTTTACCAAGCAGCAATGACCTTGGACTTCTGCCTAGGCTCTTGGTTTTTCAACTTGTTCTCACTGGCGAGACCTGAGCTCATGGATGAGACCTCCTGGCAGGAAGGAGAATATTTACGTCCAGTGTCCCAAGAGCCTTTCATCCCATGACAATTTTGTGGACTGTCCTTGTCTTCATGGGCCTACCTGAACATATGGTGCTTCAAAAGGCATAGGATGTACAGAGGTTGTCTCTTTAAAAGTGTGGAACTGGGTGCTCTGACACTTGCCTGTAATCCTAGCTATTCAAGAGGCTGAGACAGGAGCATTGCAAGTTTGAGATCAGCCTCTTCAACTTAGTGCAATCTTGTCTTAATACGAAAATGATAAATAAAAAGGGCTAGGGATGTGGCTCAGTGATAGAGCACCTCAGTTCAATCCTCAGTACTTAAAAAAAAAAAAGAGTGTTGCAGGTTTAGGACAATGTGCTGTGGGTTGCCTTCCTCTCTTAGAACTGTGCCCCTCCCACCTCTGGTGGAGGTAGCATAGACATGGTGATCAGAGTCCTTGGTCTCCTCTGGCAGAGCTCTAGATGGACACCAATAAAACTCCTACTCAAGCTGAGAGAGAAGTAAATAAACAACAACAACAAAAAAAATAGACCACATCACAGACACAGAGATGCCAGACTGTTATACTCCATGTGACAAATTCATTCGCATCTTTGTAGGGTGGAAAAGATCTCAGAGGTGAATTAACATGACTACCACTGACACTGATTTCTGGGGCTCTTCCTCCAAGCCAAGCAGTAATCTGTTAAATTATGCATATTATTTAATTTAATCCTTATAAGAATTCTGTATGGTAGGAATAACTACTATCACTTAACATTTGAGAACACTGACATGCTTAGCAAGGTTAAGTATCTTGTTCAAGGTCATCCAGTAAAAAAGAGGTAGAGTGTAGACTCAAAGTTCTGACCCCTGTGCTCTATGATCTCCCAGCTTTATTCGATCTGTTTCCAACGCAAGACTCTTTCATATGCTAATTTTCAAAAAGTGCATGGTTGTGGATCTTTCCTAAGTTGCCCTTGAGCTGATGGGGGACTCAGGGGGCTCTCTTTCCTGGGAGCCTTGAATCTAGTTATCCAGTGATGCCTATCCCTTTGTCTAGGGGAGGCCAGGGACAGTGTCCCTCTGGGGGGACATCTGGAGTCTGCTGTTGGCTGAATTATTGAGAAAATGTTCAGAGCTCTTTCTAAGAAATCGTTGGATATGAAATCAATGGTGTGGTGCCCTGGTGACCTGTTTTGTGGAGATTTAGAAACAGTTGTTGCATGGATATATATTTAAAGAAAATGTCAGATTTCTCCCAGAGGATCATGGGATTCTGCATTCATCTTTGCCTGGGATCAATACTCCTGTGAGCTGGATGTAACTTATGGGGGAATGAAGACATTCCTTCCAGTGGGAGTCAGCATGTGAGTGCCACTGTGTCCATGGAGCATTTTATTCCTGTCATATTGTTAAATAAGGAAAAATCATATTGGAGGATAAAGAAGCCCCCCCATCCAAGGAGCTATTGCCCTGGTTGGGGTCTATTTTTTGAGGAAGAATTGAACGTTGAGAGTGGAAAATTTATCTTTTTGGCTGGAGGAGGCCGTGCATTGGCTCTTAGCTTTGGCTGTGATTAAAATCCAAACAATCCCCCTTCCTGGCAAACAGAAGAGAGGGTAGTACTTTCTTGTCCGACTTCTTGATTAGTCCACATGGCACCATCTGCCACGAGCCATGTTGCTTGCCAGGGTCTGCTCGATGCCTCCTGAGGCCTGGGGTGTGGAGATGGGTTGGTGTTTTCAGGAAGAAACCATTTTGGCCTTGGGGGACAGAGGGCTCAGCATGTGCTGTGGCAGCCAGGAAAGTCTTCAGCCACAAGAGCGAGGCTTCAGTGATGGTCTGCAGCTACAGAAGGACAAGCAGATCCTTGGCAATTTCTTAGCATATTTCTTTCTTTCACAGAGGGTCTCTGGAGGAGCTCTGCTGTGCCCCCAACCAGCCTCTTCCTTGCTTGACAATTTGATGTGTTGAGCCTTTCTACTGAAAAGACTGAGTGTCTACTGCCCAGGGTCCTACTTCCAGTGGGCTATGAGAAGGAAGAGGCACATATTAAGCACCTAAGGTGTACAAAGTTCCATCTCATCCTTGGAACAAATCCACAAAGGCAGTATCAGTGTAGCCAGTTTTACAAATGAGGGATTTGAGGCTGCCCAAGTTGAACAGGCATCCCAGGATCACAGAGCTGGTACATGGTAATCTAGGAATTAGTGTTATGATTTCTGGAATTATCACCATCTGGGACAGCTGTTTCCAAAGAACCATGCTCTTTCCCTTACCCACTCAGCAACATGTCCAGTGTGCTCAGGGTCTTTCCATAAGCCTCTTTAAGATGACAGCCTCCCCTCTGAGTGATATCACAGGGTGGCCATCTTGCCATATACCAAGATCCTGCCTTTACTTTCTGTCACCTACTTTTGGGAGACAAGGCATGGTCTTAGGGAGCATCTGGCATATAGCCTCTCACCAGTCCAGGTGGGGTTCCCCCCTCTCTCTCTCTCTCTTTTTTTCTTTTGGTGGTTCTGGGTATTGAACCCAGGGCCTTGTGCATGCAAGCCAAGCACTCTACCAACTGAGCTATATCCCCAGCCCCAGGTGGGGTTCCTCTCGTGGAGCCAAATGGGGGCATCTTTCAAGACTTGCTTTGGAGCAGCCAACACTGTTTCCGGCTTTAAAGGAATTCAGCTTGGCATGGCGCTGTGCTCTCAGAAGCTTCTGGTTATGGCAAGATGGTTTTTCTGTTTTTCTCTCCTGACAGAGAAGACTGGAACTGTTTGTCTAAAAATCAGAGCAAGAATTGGACAGATTGTCTTAGAGATAAAGAATGAATTAGAAAGAAAAGAAGCTTGGATTCTGAATCCCATGATACCATCTAGGCAATGGCAGAGGCACTGGAGGATATCAACCCACAGCACGGAAACCCTCCAGAAATACCCTGAGGACCGTTAATGCATCTTCTCTTAATACCCTGCACGCACAGAGCAGACATGATTAAAATAGATTGGAATATTTCATTTTCTTAAAGCAAAGTGATAATTACCTCTGGTATGATTTGCAGATTTAATCGACTTGGTAAAATATTAACTCAGTATCAGCGATGAGTTTGCGCTTATTCTGGCACGTTCCTTTTCCCTTTTTTGGCCATAACCACTTTGAAAGCTCCTGAAGAAGTCACTAAACAATCACATTAATAACAGTATTGCTATAATAGCAATTTCTGCTTTATTATAGCCCCCTTGTAATTCACGGAGCATGTGAATGTAATTCTCTCAATAACTCTATAGAGAAGGAATGTTAAATACAATCATCACCGTCTTACAGATGTTAAGACTGAGTTTTGGAGAATTAAGTTACTCACACTCTTAGTTTCCTAGGGTGACCATAACAAATGACTTCAAACTTGGTGCTTTACAAAAACAGAAAATTATTATTTCAGTGTTCTGGAGGCCAGCAGTCTGAAGTCAGGGTGTCAGCAGAGCCACCCTCTCTTCAAAGTCTTTAGGGGAGAATTCTTCTCTGCCTTGCCCAGCCTCTGGTGCTCCTGGAACTCTTTGCCTACTGCATTTATTTGGTCTCCGACTCCATCTCACATGGCTAACATCCCCATCTCCTTGTCTGTCATCTCCCTCTCTGGGCTGGGAGTTCAGTGTCCACCAGAAATCCAGAGCCACCTCATCCTTTGATCTTTAACTTGATCACATCTGCAAAGGCTGAATTTCCAAAGAAAGTCACATTCACAGGGACTAGGGTTAGGACCTGGACAAATCTTTTTAGAGGACATAATTCAACCCATTGTATTTGCTCAAAGTGACACAGCTGATGACCAACTCAGATCTTCTGTCTGTGTACTTTTTCTGCCATCTGATTGTTGTTACCTTGAGGAGGCCTACACTGTGTGACAATGGTGCTGCCCTTACCGATTGGGTACCCTCCCCATTTTCCACCACCTGGCCCCAGGATTGCCATTAGCAGTGCTAATACTTTGGAAGGGA